CTAATGCGATACACCTTTGAGTCGAAGTCATGTGAAACTCTTGTGGACACCGATGGGCGCCGAGAGATAATAAACACCGAAAGTGGTCCTAAATATGGGAACGTCTGCGCTCTTTATCATAGTTTGGTCTTAAATTTATTGGATAATTGTTTCACTTCTTCGGGAAACCATTTACTGATCAACTGTTTCACTGAACTTCAGTTACGGCTCTATTTGATTGATCTCAAGACTCGACACTTGATTCCCATTGATTTCCCCTTACCTTCCGTCCAACTCATGGACTTCAGAGACAATCTCGTGATAGCCGTCGGCTCCGCCATTAATGTTAAGCCCAATGTGTTTGTCGGTCGACTCGACGATAACATACCGGAACCGTCGATAGAGTGGTCACAAATTGGGACCAATTCTAGTGATTCACTGAAAGACATAAGTGTTGAGAGCTATTGGATTCCCGTCACTGAAGACCCCAACAAACTATTGACAGCCATTCTGGTCAGCCCTCAAGCAGTCAAATCAGAGGCGGCGCCCACTATAGTCCTACCCCACGGCGGACCCCATGTTATTGATTATAACACTTATATGTCTTATTCAAACAAATTCGCATCAATGGTCTGTTCTTTAGGATTTAAGACATTATTAGGTATTTGTTTGTAATAAACAAATCTATTATAACTATTAATTAACTTATGTCTCAACCGGTAGTCAACTACAGGGGATCGTTAGGTGTGGACGAGGAGTACGTGTCGTCTCTCATCGGACACGTCGGCGATCGGGACGTCAAAGATGTCATTCAATGCGTGCAATACCTGTGCGATAGAGGACTCGTCGACTCCCATCGACTCGTGCTTTACGGCGCCTCTCACGGAGGGTTTCTCGTGACACACCTGTCCGGTCAGTACCCGCACTGGAACTTCAAAGTCTGTGTGTCAGAGAATCCAGTCATAGACTTGTCAACCAATCCCGACGGCACCGACATCCCTGACTGGTGTTATGTGGAGGCGTTCGGCACATCCCTGTCCTATAAAAGCGATGCAGTCTTAGAGTCCATGAGCGCCAAAGTCATGTCCGAGCGCTCGCCCATCCATTGGGCGCCTAACGTAAAGGTGCCGACGCTTATGGTGTTAGGCAAACGGGACCGTCGGGTGCCCTCCACTCAGGGACTCAAATACTACCGCTTATTGAAGGCCAGGGGTGTGAAAACCCGGTGCTATGTCTACGACGACGGCCACTGTCTTGCGGATGTCAGTGTCGACGGAGACCTCTTCGTAAACGTTTGTCTTTGGATTTTACAGCATTTGAATGAATGAGTAAAATGTGTTTTAAGTGTAAGTTTTCCTATCAATTGATCTGATTTTCAAACTAATTGTGTGTTCATTATAATAAAGTTTATGTCAATATTAAAAGTTTTGTAAAGTTTTTCAATGAGTGTTAAGTGTTTACNTTAATGAGTTAGACTGGTTTATATTCTTATATTTCAAACCTAAATAAAAAGAAAACCACATTAGATTTTTAATTAGTTTTTTCACAAAATTATATATATATATAAGCTTTGTTAATTCTATTCAAAAATATTTTTAAAAACATTAAACTTGTACCAGAAAATGATGTTTTAAAAATATAAACGTGAATTCAATAGTATTACCATTAAAAACTCAAGAGTATGAAAAGTTATTTTAATAGCCTCAGTAGGCTACTTTAAGTTAATGAAGAGAAACTCTTGAGTTTTTTTTGGTAATATGGTGATTTTTGCAATAATAAAAATTGACATGCACAATTTTTCATAACTTGAATTTATACCCTAGATCGATTCACCTTTGAAAAATAATTTCATGATGGTTGAACCCATAAATTACGTCATGACACAATGTCGTTATTTATGGATGGAAATAATTTTAGATTACAGTATTTTTAATGCTGATACTAAAAATCACATTTTAAAATTTTTCTGACAATAAATAACGAAGTTATGGTATGACGTAATTGATGAATTCTGAAAATTGACATTNACTTAGATCAGTCGAAGAATGCAATCGATTATTAAACTATCTAAGTGACCTAGCACCATTCAAAAATAATTTTTACATATTTATATATCATTTAATAAGCTTATTTTATTTTGTCAATTTCACCAAATTATATTAACATTGATCAATACCTTGACATGGTGTTAATTTTAATTTGAGCTCGAAATTTATAAATAAAATTTATATTTGCTAAACGCTGAATTATTAATGATGATATATTAATTTAATTATCATAATAGAATATTTTTAATAAAATGATTTAAAAAACTTTCTTCCAACATTTCCTAATTTTGGCAATTGTGGCTGGCTCTTGACCAGTATTTGTATGTTGAGCTTTAACATTGTGATATTTCGTTTTCAACATAATCCGTTGGTTTAATGAATCTCGAATTGTTTTACCATTCCACTTTAAATCACACAGTTCCTTAATTATTTTATCGATATCCTGAACCGAAATAACGCTTTGCCTTGAATCCTTAGTATTCATGGCAACCAAGATGATTTCCTTTTCGTGTTTATACTGCAGTAGCATTTGTTTCAGTTTATTCACGGTAATCAAGTTATTACTTCCCTGTTCCTCATTCTTAATGATAACATTAACGTAATCTTCGAACGCGTCGTTAAATGGTGTAAGAGCATTATCTTTAAGAAAGCACGCAAATTTGGCCATGCATTTTGTTATGGTAATATTTTCATGTGTTAATTCTGTGATTTTACTTTCAAGTTTCTTAATTTGCTCCAGTTGCGCCATGGACATTTCTAAGGTTGTAGTTATGCGCTCGTATTTGCTTTCATCCCGGACCATTGTCTGCACTATCTTTGTTTCGTAATTAATATGCAGATGCGATTGATACGAGTGGTGGCATTTGGTGCATATGTCAGATTTTACCAGTCTCACAGGTTGAGCTCGAATCCAGTCCTGCTCATTATATTCATCATCTCTAGTTTTGCGAGCATTAACCGGAATACTATATTTCGAAGGATCGAAATAGCCTACCTCACCTTTCTTCTCTTTCTTAACGAACGCCTCGCAATCGAGAAGGCCCTTATTGCCCACGATATTACCGTCGCTATTTTCCAAGTAGCATGGTGAATGACAATTGGTTTTATAATGAGTCTTCACCGTTCCGTTGATATTCTCTTGAGTGCAACAATTCTTGTCACTGCAGACAGTCTTTGGGTGATCCAACGGTTCTGATTCGATGTCCACGGATGGGATATACAGTTCCTTCTCAAGATCCTCTATATTACCGGTGAACTCGTGAATCTTTTGTTTATGTTTTTGGCATTCTTTAACGTTGTCTGAAATATTTTTGGCGATGTCAGCTAATGGTTGAGTCAATAGACATATATTCTGTTTGGCGTTATTGAGGGATAGGGTGTCCATCACTTTGTAAGGTCGTAGTGATAAAACGCGCTCAAGTAGTCGATCACATTCTTTGACAGACCTGAACTGAATCCGCTTAATTAGCCAAGTGAATTATATCTTACTTAAACATTATAAACGATTAAATACACTAATGACCAATCAAATTAGAGTTTTGTGCTCTTTCTATTGCAGCTGACAGATTTGTTCTAGGACGCACGGTTAAAAAGTTAATTGGATATAAAGTCCAATATGTTTCTTATGTTTTCGTTGTCTGTATCAATGCCTTTTGTATCGGCAATACCTGGGGTATCGATTATATTAAGATTAACTTTATCAATCTCAAATTTATAACATTTAGGACGTTGTGTAGCAGACTGTCCAGCACCTCCCGTGTTTTCATTAATATCGTGTGAGCCTAATGTTACAGTTCTTTGCACATATGTTTCACTATCGGTCAATGTGAAACTTACGGGAATTAGACAATGGCTTAGATTTGGCCTGGTGCATATTTTCGAACGACATATAATTGACGAATGCGTTAATAAATGTTGATTTTCCCACACCAGTCTCACTCAATAAAAGGATGGTTATTGTCTTGTTAGCAGTGGCGGCTACCTTTTCAAATGGTCTTTGTGGTAAAGCTTGAGATAATGAGGCCTGCGATGGTCTGACCTGAGGTTGTGAGGCCTGAGATGGTCTGACCTGAGGTGGTCTGGCCTGAAATGTTGAGAACTGTTGTTGTCCTGTCTTTTTTAAATTTTCAGAAATTATTTTGAATGGTGCTAGGTCACTTAGATAGTTTAATAATCGATTGCATTCTTCGACTGATCTAAGTAATTTAAAAGGTTAATTGCTATTAAAACTTCTATTGGGCCTTTAATTTAATAACCTGACATACCTGGACCATGATGCCATATTTTCCTGTTTTACATTCCTACCAAATTCTATATTATTGGGCGATGCACTCGCCACCATATGTACAAATGGTTCGGTGTTTAAACAATAAATAGTGCCTTGATTGAATTTGATATTTATATTTCTGAAAATGCCAGCGATTGAATTAAGCATAGTCTTAATAGCTTGGATAGATTCCGTTGGATTTAGATCATTCAGAAAAATAAATACAATATGATCATTTATAACTGAATTCAATTTTTTGATAAGATTAATTAAATAGTTGTTGAAAATAGAAGTTGTTCCAGGTTTATTATTTTTTAAGAGTACACAAATAGAATTTATTTCTCCATAATTGGTAATAAATTCCACCAGATTTTGTATCTTTGTATTGTATTCTTCAATGGAATCTGTTTTAACAATTAATCCCTCGGTGTCTATCATATTTAACATAATTTGTCCGATCTGAAAATTATAGCATCTTGGAAGCTTTTCAGATGAAAATCCGATCGGGTATTTTAAAAGTTTGGGGTATTATGCAAATTGGGTTTGATTTAGCCTGGTGCATGTTATTGTAACTAATGTAATTGACGAAGGCATTGATGAATGTGGTCTTTCCTACACCAGATTCACCCAATAATAACATGGTTATCATTCCGGTGGGTTTGTTAGCAATATTATCAACTGGTACATTTTTCGCGGGTTCAATCGGTTTAGTTTCTTTGATTGTTTCAGCCGGTAATTGTTTAGTAATTGCAAACGGCTTAAGACCATAAATATATTGTAATAATCGATTACATTCTGTAACACACCTAGATTGAAATTAAAAATATTTACTTAAATTATCGTAATTTACATTAATTATAAAATTCACATTTAAAATCTAATTATATTTAAAATAATACCTAGACCAGGAAACTAGTTTGTCCTGCATAATATCTTTGCCAAACTCTATATTATTTGGTGGTCCCGAAGCAACAAGGTAACGAAATGGTTCGGTATCGAAACAAAAGATTGAATCCTTATTGAATATAATATTGATTCCTTGTTGATGTTTAGTCATTTGATCAATGACACTTTTGATAGCCATAACCGACTCTCCAGAGTTTCGTGCGTCTGGATATATAAATAATAAATTGGTAGCAATATTCTGGCTTGCCTGATTAATTAATTTAATCAAATAATTATTAAATATAAATTCAACGTTTGAATTATCAGGCTTCAAGAGGACACAAATGGCATTAATTTCTGGATAATTACTTATAAAGTCCAATATTTTTCTAATATCGGAATTTATATCAGCCGAATATGAACTGCTTAATTTCGGGATATCGATCATATTTAAAGTTACTTTATCAGTTGAATATTTATAGCATTTAGGTATGTTTAAGTTCTCAGGTTCATTTAATTTGTTTTGTTCAAGGGAAGTTGTTAAATCTGGATACAGTGAAGTCATCCCTTGCGATTTAGAGACATTTTGCAGCATGCTTATATTTCTGAGGTCATATGTGTCCGGATCATAAAATGAGAATGTATTGCTCAATAAACATCTAATTTGATTCTCCCTGGCCAAATCCATGGTCTCGTAAGTTATATAATTAACAAAGGCATTGATAAATGTAGACTTTCCAACACCCGCCTCACTCAATAATAAAATTGTCAATTCTTGTTTATTAAGAGGTATATCTTGCCGGGTTTGCAATTTTTCCTGTTGCTTCGATGCTACTCGTATGTGATCAAGGTTGGGGTCTTTATTTATTGTACCAACTTTTCTTGGTGTTACTGGCGGTCTAACTGAGACTGCCAATGCTGTTAGTGAACATATATAATCCAGTAATCTCTTACACTCCAAATTGGATCTAAATATAAATATGCAGATAATTATATAGTTACTGTTTATTAGAATATAAAACATAATTGTCTACTGGGAAAAATTGAAATTTTATGAATATTTTAAATAAATCCTCACCCAACAATAAGATCGTTATCTCAGTTTTGGTTGACATTCTCTTATGGTATG